CCCGGCCGCCTGCTTGCATCTCCTGTTTCTCTCTCGGCTCTCTCATCTCCTTCCCCATTGAGTGGATGTCTTGAGGGTGAGGCCTGTCTTCTGCGTCTTCCTCTCGGAGCTCCGTCCGTCTCTGCTGAAAGCTGCTCTCGTGAGCTTGGTTTTGGTCCCAGGTCGTAACCAGAGCCAGTCTCTTCCTCTCCGAGGCAGTCGGGCCGCGAGGCTGAATACTTTTCCTTCCTCTCTCTTTCGGGTGGTGGCCACAGCCCCAGTTTCTCTCCGCCCAGTCCCCAAGGTGGATTCCGCTTCTGAAACCCACCTCTCCTGGGCCACCCGCCTCTCGTGGCCCCCCTGAGTCTGCCCTCCGTCTTCCTCCTGTTCTCTCTGGGCTCAGAGGGGCCCTAGTGCTCACTGCACAGAGCCCAGCGTCTTCCCTCTGTGACCCCACGAGGCCCGGGGAGGACGGGGACCAGGGGAGCCACGTGGCTGGTGCGTCTGCAAGAAAAGGCTGCTCTTCCACCAGGGCGGCTCGGCCCCGGCCGCGGGCAGCTGGAGGCATGGGACTAGGAGTCTGGGCGCAGGTCCTGTCCGCACGGGCAGAGGTGCTGAGGGAGCCCAGACGGCAGAGCGCCCCCTCCTCGTCCGGAACATGGCCCTGCATCCCGGCCCTCCCGCGGCTCCGGCTGCCCAGGGGCTGGCTGGTGCTGACGGGGCTGCTCTCTGCCACAGGACCTCCCCAGCGAAGCTCCTCTCCCGGACGCCTCGGCCTCCCCCCTGTCTCCACACCGAAGAGCCAAGTCACTGGACAGGAGGTCCACGGAGCCCTCCCTGACGGTGAGCCCGGGCGCCCGCGCTCCGAGGCCTGGAGACGCTGCTCCTGCTGCTTCTGTCCCCTGGGCTCTTTGCTGCTGCTGCCTGTGCCTCCACGCTGGCGTCCCTTCTGTGCACGGGCCCTCACGTCCGTGCGTGGGAAGCAGGTGCCGTGTTTCTGCCCCTTCTCTGGGCTGCGTGGGCATCCTGAGCTGTGAGGTCCCCAGCGGAAGAGGCCATCTGGCCAGAGCAGCGGAATTCTGGCTCCGGGGAATCAGGGCCACAGGACGAACCTCCGTTCTTCTTGTTTTGGGTGTTTGTTTCTGTGACATTTTGGAGTCGGGAGCCCCCCTCTTGCTGGGCACTTGTCTTGTTCGTGGGGTCAACATGGAGGGCTCCCAGCCTTTGCTCCAGGGCATGGGAGCCGTGGCCATCGGGTGCAGGTAGGGAGTGGTCAGGCGGGTCGAGCGGGCCCGTCGCTCCCTCGGGGAGCCCCGAGTGGCAGGCCAGCGTCCCAGGAGTGAGGACAGCTGGCAGCTGTATGGGCCCTTCTCTGCTTTGTCCTCAGCCTTCCGAGGAGCCTGGGGCTGATGCTGCCCCTCCCAGGCGTGGGGCCTCCAGCGGCAACCTGACTTGGAGCCGTGGGGCCAGGGTGGAGGCTTTCTTGCCTGGAGTCTGGGTTTCGCTCGCGGGTTTGGAGCAGAGGCTCCAGGACACGTGTGGCTGATGGGTGTCCCACTACGTGGCTTGTGTTCTCTTGAACCCTCCTTGGGTCCTTGGAATATAAAAAGACGTCACAGCCCCGTTCTGGTTGTGATGGCTATAGAAGAGCACGTGGGCCGAGGGGAGCAGTGGGCCACGCCTCTTTCCACACTGGCCTTGCCTGCGCCCCGATGTGTGACACAAGCCAGGCCCAGGGGGCTGCCTGCCTGCGGCCCTCAAGGTGCTCTCAGGCTGCTCTCCAGGCTCTGGCGCACAGGTGCCAGAGGGAACAGCAGGGACAGCGCCCCGTTCAGTGCCTGCGGTCCTGGTTCTGCTTCTTGGAGGGAAACGGAGACTCAGACTCATCTTGGCAGGTCAGTGGCCTGAGGGTCTTGGCAGGCTTGCTGCTGCGTCTTGCTTCACACCGGGCGTGGCCTCTGCTCTCAGTCTTCCTGTGGCCTCTGTGAGAACTTCTCAGCTCTCCTTTCAGCCATCGCTGCACAGCTTCCCTCCACGCGAAATGCCGGGTGACTCTGTCTGGGCCGTTCTTCTCTGCCTTCCGGGCGGCCCTGCAGGCGCAGCAGCCAGGCAGCCCCACTTGTGCTGCTCACGGGGTGAGGGGGCCCGCGCCTGTTCCCCGTGCCCAGCCTCGCCCTCCTCGAAGACGCACGTCCAGGGAGCAGCTCTGGCAGCCCCTGCCAGGGCGAGGGGCCACGGGGGTTCCTCTGGCAGGTGGATAAGCCCCTTTCCGGGGCCCCCTCATCGGGGGAGAGACAGCTGCCTTGCTGGTCACCCTTTACCCAGAACCGGGACACCGCTGCTTTCCTCTCAACTGTTCTTTTTTCTTCCTTTCTTAGCCCGACC